GCAGACCAGGTGGACTCAGATTCAGATGTTTTGGTTGTGAAAGACTCGGAGGAAGAGGATCTCCAGGCAGCTGCTGCAATCCCTTTGGCAAAAGCGTACTTTGACCCCAGCCAGGGCTGCTATGTCAAAGCCTTGGAAGGAGGCAAGTGCATTCATGGCGAGTTGAAGGAAGGAGCAGCTGGGTTTTGCATGGTTCACTTCCCAGACGAAGAGCCATTTGAGAGCCAAGTCCCGAATCTATGGCTGTCGAGTCGCAAAAGCGCGCCGGCTTTCAAGTTCTCCAAGCGCGGCAAGGCCGCCTTCGGAAAGGCCAAGAAGAAGGCGAAGCGAGCCGCAGAGCCTGCGGAAAGGAGGCAGAGGCTACTGTGGGATCCAGCGAGTCCGGCGAGAGCAACCAGGAGTTGCTAGCAGCCGCGCCTCTGGAGCTGGAGTCTTGGAACGGGTACCCTCTAGCTGGTATGCCGCAGGAGGCGCTGCCGCCTCCCGGATGCTCAGGCCTGCACTCCTACACCGTGAAGGCTCTGATCCTTGGCACTAGTGTGAGTATAGATGTTCTCACGCGAGGCAAGGCCTTTTATATAAAAAGACCAGAAATCTGCAAGGGGCAGCACAGTTGGTCGAAGCACAGCAGCATCACGGAGTGCTGGGTTCAGTGCCTTGAAAAAATCAAGGACACGCTAAGGGACGAGAAGGACGCTGTGCCAAATTTGGAGTGAACATATTGCATTTGAACAAACCAACTGGATCGCTTAAAAAGGCCTGCCCCCGCAGACCATGCCGTTTTTGGATTTGCATGACGTTTTGAGCAGCATCAATTGTTTGCAAGATTTTTTGGGGTTTGTTGAGTTGCATGACCTTGTGTGTTTGTGCGTTGCATGAGCGTTTGGACCGCAGCCATTTTTATGTGCGCACCCTTTCAGGACTTTGCTGGCAAGCATGCATGTATATGCAGTTGTTGATGTCACTTGTGCCTTGTGCATGGTGCAGGCCTCCTTGGCAGGAGGGTATAGCTTGATCTCTTTTGTGCAGGCCGCGCCGCGTCGAAGGTTGCCAGATCTTCTTGTGCATGGCCAGGACTGATCCTTCTTCTTGTGCATGGCCAGGACTGATCCTTCAGGAAGTTTCTTTGTGAAGGCCATCCTCCTTGGCAGGAGGAATTCAATGTTGAAGTGCAGTTGCCGCGCACGCATGCGTGCCCTGACTTAGTCTGCAGGTGATGATGCCAGCATCTGCCGGCCCAAAGTCTCCTTGGAGGAGACAGGGTTGCGCACGAGCTCTTTGTTAACTCATTGCTTTGTTCTGAGATGCTTTGGCCATGTTGCTTGCATGACAAATGTGCGCTTGTTGGCAGATATGTTTGAGCTCAAGTGGCTATGATGACAGGTGCATGTCAGCACATGATTGCATGATATGGTCACAGTCAGGCAGCTTGCATAATCATGGCTGGCAGTAGCAAGAGCGGCTATGGCAAAGAGTGGAGCAAAGAGTGGAAAGGCCCGATCCGGGCTTGGAAGGGGTCTGATTGGGGCAACGAGGCCTTGCTAGACCTCAGGTTTTGCAAGGCTTGCAAGACGAAATCGTATCTCAGAGGATCGCTATGCGCGAATTTGTTGTGCAGCCAGTACTACATGCACCAACAGCCATCCTTGGCAATGTGGAAGAAAGGAGTGAGTGAAGAATGTTGGTCGCCGCAGTCCTGGCGTCAGAGCGGATTCAGTGATGCGGTTTACCAGAGGCACCTCACAGAGGAGTGGGCCCAGATGGAGGAGGAAGAGCACGAAGATTCGGACGAGATGGAAAAAGTTGTCATCGAAGAGGTGGCCAGCAGTGAGGAAGAGACCGCTGCTTGGAAGAAGCAGCAAGAGGTGCCTGCGGAGGAAGGTGATGCGGCCCGGGCAGGGTACCAGTGGGCAGTGAAGGAAAAAAAGGCTCAGGAGAAAGCAAAAATGCTTGGGAAATCCGCAGAGGATTTCAAAGAGCTGGCAACTCTGCACCCTTGGCGTGTTGGTGGAAAGGAGCACCAGCAAGAAAAAAAGAATGAGAATGAGAAGAATGAGAATGAGAAGAATGAGAATGAAAAGAATGAGAATGAAAAGAATGAGAATGAAAAGAATGAGAAGAATGAGCAGCCGGCGGTGGTGGCCACTCAGCAGGATGCGTTTGAAAGCTGGCAAAGATCCTACTGGGGGACAGGTGCTTGGGCGCGCGACCACGGCTGGGAGGAAGAGCCCGCGAAGGGTAAAAAAAATAAGGGACGGAAGCGAAAAGCTTGGTTGGAGGCTCAGATCGATTCTTTGAAGGTGAATGGAAGGTGGGTTGGGCCTGGCCATCCCAGCGCAGTGGCAAAGGCCATCCGGCTGGCCAAGGACTGCCTTGAGAGATCACATTGATTTGCCATGTTTTTTTGGGAGTGTCCTTGTTTGTGTGTGAATCTACCCTGCAGGAAGGCGATACTTTCAAGAAGCCCGAGAAGCCCGCAGCAGATCCGTCGGAGAACAAGGCCAGCTTTTTTTTTTTTACGGTTTTGATACTTGTGCAAGATGCTTGTCCTGACCAGGCAGATGCTTGAGTGGCCAGATCAGATCACGATACCGTGGAATCTTCGAGCGTGATGGGAAAATGCATGCCAGATGTGCTCAAACTTGTTTGCCTGGTCAAGTTGCCATGGTTCTTGCATCTTGCCAAACATGTCTGGGGTGTAGGAGCGTGCTTGGACAGCTGCTGCCTCAGACAAAAGGCCTCCCTGGTGGGAGGATTTGTTTTTTGAGAAGGACTACCTCCTTGGCAGGAGGCTTAATTGGTATGGTCTTAGATTGACTTGCGATCAAAGATGCATTTGTTTGTCTTTTTGGCATGTCTGCATCTTTGATTCACATTGCAAGGTGCTAGGAATTCCTTTAACTCAGATGTTATCCTTGTGGACTTCGCCATGCAGCCAGGGCCTCAGAATATCAGACTTGTAGCCACTGTTCAAGTATGTTGCTGGTTGTAAGCGCCTTGCAGTGGGTAGACTGTGGTTTGACTTGACTTGGTCTGTGTGCATGGCCATGGCAAGCCTCCTGAGAAGGAGGCATCCTCCTTGGAAGGAGGCTGGCACCTTCACTAATAGACATTGGGGCTGTGTGCCCATTGATGGTTTTCATCTTGCAGTCAAGTGTGTGCATTGTTGTTTGGTGTGACTTGCCAAGTTTCTTCGGTCTTGCAGCTTCACTGATTTGATATTGATCGCACCATGATCACTGCATTTGGTATTGGTTAGGAAATCAACAACACACAGAAAATTTTTAACAATCATTTTTTTAACAAATTTTTAACTGTTAAAAATTTTGATTTTGAGAGGAAACTCCATTTAAAATCAAAATTTTTAACAGTTAAAAATTTGTTAAAAAATGATTGTTAAAAATTATTGTCCGGGTGTGGGAGTAATATAATATATTTTGTGGGTGCAGGCAACCCGGGATGGGGTTGTGACTTGATATAGTTGTTCATTTTTGTTTGGTGTATACATTGCATTTTGAAGGATTACAGTAGTGCTATACATTTGACATGAATCTATGAAGTTTGAATCAGGTAGGATTGAGTTTGCTGTTTGACACTCCCTTGTGAGGCGATGGTTTGCAGCCATTCTGGTTTGTTTTAGCCAGATCCCCACAGTTGTCAGCCATGGTATGGCCTGATGGGGATCCCGTGCTGCTAAGCTACTGGAGCAATTTGGCAGGAACAATCTGTCATGTAAGCCTTCATCAGTCAGGCTGGGAGAGCAGGACGCCTTGGTACAGATTGCCTGAGAACATTGTACCATCGCCAAGTCTCCTGAGTAGTTTGCAGCAAAGCCTGCCCAATGCTGGAGATAATTTTGGGCCAGGTAGAACCGAACTAGAAGATCTCAGAAGGATGTACGGTTTCAGAGGCTGAGCTTGGCATTGGAGTGTGCCAAAACAAAAAGGCTCGGGCGCATAGTTTGAATATCAATCCAGATAAAGACACGCGCGCGGCAGTGTTTCTCTAGGTGTCGAATGTTGAGAAGGCTCAAGCTTAGGTCAGGTAAGGATCATGGCTCCCAAAATGGGGAAGACTGCCAAAGCTATGGCTGCAAAGTCAGCTGCCAAAGCTACAGCTGGCAAGAAAGTCAAAAAGGAAGTGAGAACAACGCCCAAGGCAAAGCCGAAGCGTGTCAAGGAGCCTGTTTTGGAGACTGCTGGCGATGCCTCGGCCTCATGGAGCATGATGGGTCTGGGGCCCCACCAAGCCAGCTGGGCTACGCCAGACAGTGAGCGCGCTTCTCACTTCGCTAAAATACCAAGTGAAGGCAAAGAAAACCAGTGACTCCCAGAAGGATGACGCACAGAAGGTGTTGCAGGACCGCCGCATGCATGTTTGAGTTTGTAGTGGGCTTCTTGGCCAGCTACTTAACTGACAGCTTGATCTCCTTGGTAGGAGTACGAAGCGGGCACCATTGAGGAGAAGAAGTTGATTCTGGACAAATTGCAAGAATTCGGAGTGAAGAATTGCAGCTGGGTCCACAGCCTGGAGTCCCTGACATCTAACATAAGGACGAGACTGAGTCCTTGGTCACCAACTTCTTCACCAGGTTGTTTGGCTTAGTAGTGGCTTTTGTTTTTCTCTTCTGCAGTTTCATGGCTTGCTAGCAGCATTCTGGGATTGCGCCAACGCAGCTGAGGCAAGGGATCTTCGAAATCGAGCATATTGACACAGCCGGCCTGTCAGAAAATGACAAGGATGAGATTTTGGAGGAGATCCTCTCCAAATCTGAGAAGAACTTTGGCCACTCGAGGCAGGTGCAAGAGCACTCAAAGTTCAAGCAGTTGCACAAGTACCTTTTTGTTTACACCAAGGGCAAGAAGAACACTGAGGGCACAAGGACAAGCAGCAGCATGTCAAGCACTGCTGCGGGCATGAAGGGCAAGGCAAGCCAAAAGATGGCTTTGGACTTGCTGGGCCGACTAGAGTTGGCCAGTTCTTCTGCAGCTGAGCATGGCATGTCTGCGTCTTTGTCTGAGGCCAAGTCTGAGTCAAAGAGCCTGCAAGCTGCGAGGGTTCGCCTCAGCAAGCTGTTGGAGGACTTGAAGCTCCTGACAGCCGAGATCGCTGGCCTGAAGGATAACAGCTGGGGCAAAAAGCTAGGAGAGTTGGAGAACGCTGACAAGCAGTTGTCTGGCTTTTTGTCAGAGGTGAGGACGCAGCTGGCCGTTCCCTTTCCAACCGACAAGCAGCAGGAAGTGCCAGATCTGCTTGCCCAGCTGAAGGAATTGAATGAGAAGGCAAGCATGCACGAGAAAGCAGTGAAGCTGATCTACAAAACAAGCAAGAGTTTGCTCTCCTGAGAAGATATAGTACAGGAGCCACGCCTGTGGATTTTGTTTGCAGGCTTGTCCTAGAGATGGACGAAAAAGCAGCAGATCGAGTCATTGAGATCATGCTTCGCGCATGTGTCTGCATGCCTCTTCTATTTTCTTGGCCGGTTGGCTCAAGCTGTAGTTTGAAGTTGGCCCAAAATCACTGCAGTCACAGTTCAAAATAAGATAAAGCAAAGCTAGGAGCTTCAGGATCTTATTAGTAGACAAAATGCCTCACCAGAGGCACACGCAGCAGGAATTCAACAAGAGTGATGCCTATAGAAAAAAGTTGGCAGGCAAACCGGTGGGAGTGTGCGCAGCTCTGGCAGAGATGAGAGGAGACTGGTCAATGTACAAGGAGGTACTAGATTTTCCAAGCTGGTCTGCCAAGGGGCATATCTGCTGGCTTTGCAACGCCACCAAGACTGACTTGAAAGATTTCAGCAACGCAACATTTGAGAAGTGTCTTGTCTGAGATTGTTAGATAAGGGCTGAATTTGTGGTTCATTCGTATAGGCATGACGCAGCCCTAGCAGGCTAGCCTGCTCTTAAGAATTCTTGTGCTGGCTTTCGTCTGCTCAGGTATCCTTTGATTTCGGCGATGGATTTCTTCTTAAGGCAGCAGCAGTCTGGAAAACTGATTTCAGCTCTCTTTTCAGTTCCTGGCTTCACTACTCAGAGCTGCAAGGTGGATTTCCTTCACTGCTGCGACTTGGGGGTGACGGCTGACTGGCATGGCTGCTTGCTTTTTTACATTCAGCAGCAGAAGATCGCAGGAGTTTCCATGCGCGTCAGATGCGCCAAGCTGTTTCGTGATATTCAGCAGTTCTACAAAGACAACAAGGTTCAAGACAGGTTGCCAAAGCTTCTCCCAACCATGTTGAGACGCGAAGTCAAGGGAAAGAAGAAAGTTCCAAAGCTTCGAGTCAAAGCAGGAGAGAGCAGAGCTTTGGTGCCGTGCTGTTTGCAGCTGGCCACTCAATACATGGACGCAAGCATACCTCATGAGTCAGCTATGCTGCAGGGTTGCAAGCACTTGCAAGCTATGTACGCTTGCTTGAGTGCGGCGAACTGGGACGCTGACAAATTCCTACGAGCAGCGCAGAAGTTTCTGTTGCTCATGCGCACCTTGGAAAGTTTCTTTGGGGAAGATATTTTGTTTCGAGTGAAGCCCAAAGGGCACTTACTTCTGGAGCTGGCTAGGTCCAGAACCAATCCTGCGCACACTTGGACATATCGAGATGAGTCGTTTGGCCACACATTGGCATTGCTGGCCAGACGAAGAGGAGGAAAGTTTTCCATGGCAGCAGTTTCCAAAGCGACATTGCTGAGATTTCTTGCTGCCAACAAGGTGCCTAGACTGGACATGTGAAGTATATAGCGCAGGGCAGCGAGCTTCAGAGGTTCTTGCTAGCAATATACAAAACAGAAAACGGTGTAAAATGAAATTATGAAAAAAAAGCGCATTCCATATATATTGAAAGTTGCACAACTCAGAAGCAACAATGCTTAATTAAGCACTGTTTCTACAATGCTTAATTAGACAATGATTGCTTAATTTTTTTTGTCATAAACAATCCTTAAAGTTAAATAAGCACTTTTGGAGGCTCTGGGATTCGGGTCCCGAAAAGGGCCACGATTCGGGCTCCGAAAAGTCGTATACCATTCGGGTCCCGGATTCGGGCCCCGAAAAGATGTTCCATTTGGGCCCCGGGTTCAGGCTCTAAATTGTTTTCAAGCTGGAAAAACTCTCCGTGTTGGCTCCGAAGACTTGTTCAAAGTTTGGGCCGGGTTCAGGCCCCGAAGTTGCCACAGAGGGAGCAGGGGACAGTGGCGCAATGGCAGCGTGCCCGGACTAACCTGTGGATGCCACAGGTTAGGTAGGGAGGTCGCGGGTTCAAATCCCGCCTGCCCCCATCTTTTGCGCAGAGTGACCCTCAAAGGCTTCAACAATTCAATTGCCGAAAGGAGCTCTGGCGCCTCTGGCAGGCATGGCTGGCCTTGTGATGTGGAAGGTCTGAGAAACACATGAACACGCAGTGGCTGTTGAAACTCACGCGGGCTCCTTTTTCACACTCTCAGCTTTCCCCGCGACATGTCCATTGCATGTCTCCCCGACCATGTTGCTACTAAGAAGCAAGCAGCAATTGCAGCTTGCAAAAACCACCGTTTGGGAAAACAGCAAGGCATCCAACTGCGGGGGCGCAGTTGTTTGAACACCTGATCCAATCTGTACTGGAGTCAAAGTCGATCAGGGCTGAACTGCTCCCAAGCCAGTGTTGTTTCGCTTCCGGAAGATGGCTCAGTTGTTGCATCGCAGCTGGGCGAGACATCAGGTTGCTCGGAATCTTTCTTCTGCTGCCACTTCCTTGCCAGGACCTGGGCCTCTGCCCAAGCCACTGCGACAAGCCCTGGCATAACTCGCTCACTCAGTGGCAAATCGTCGGCACTCCCCACGTAGAACTTCATCCCGAAGCCAAACTTCTGTGAGTGTCCAAGGCCTTTCACCACAAAGCTTGAGTTGTCCAGCTTAACCATAATCTTGCAGCATCCTGCAGGCTTGACCGTGTAGGAATGGTTGCCAACAGGCGGTGTCTCAGGCATGGCATCCGCAGGTAAATGGAGGAGCGTGGGGTAATACTTCATCAAAATGTTTCCAAGCCGCTCCTTCTGCTGCAGAATGCTCCGCAAGTCTGGGTGGCTAAGCTCGTCCCAGTCCCCCGACTCATCACGCTTTTCCGCTCTGCGCGAAGGTCAGCCCGACTGCCGAAAATCACCGTGCTCTCGTGTTCAGACGACATGTTTGGAAACCTTCGGCAAAACTCGGGCCTTAATGACTGCGACGATGCAAGTCAAGGGCAGGACGACAAGCAGCAGCAATGCCCGTGCACTCACACAACAACAAAGCCTAGCAGTGCTCATGCACATGCAAACACCACACTCCGTGGCTCGATGCATTTTTTTCAATCCAAGGCCACACAACTTCAGCCTCAAAAACACTGTGCGTTGTGGCTGGCGGCGGGCCTGTCTCAGTCTCTACTCAGAGGAGAACACAGTGACTGGTTTTGAAGTTCCAGCTGCGTTTCCGCAGCTGGCGGCAGCACGCTGATTTGCGCGCTGATCTTGGTGCCATGGCGAATTCTTGATGAGGGGTCTAACTTGGACACGGCCAATTTGATCGAACTTGGTGCCAGGGACCTGAACCTGCATGTCAGCGTCCTCTCCTTCTGCATCAGACTCATGCTTTACTGCAGTCATCTGCTCGATGTCATCAGGATGCCAGATGGCGTTGCCAGGAAAGAGAGAAAGTGGCATGAACCTGCGAATGATGTCAACGTCTCGTCTGTAAAGGGCCTTCAGCATCACCCGTGGTTTTGGCACGGGGTCACTGATTGGCAGGCAAAGTATCGAGGAATAGTTCTGGGGCCACTGAACCAGGTCAGGCACGCGATCGAACTCGTCCTGCCAGCCCCAAATCATGAAGCGCTTCTCCCAGGAAGCATGGCCAATCGGCCCATAATCTCCACCATAAAAGGCACGTTGAATGTCATACACAACACACCGCAACTGATAATGCTTCCTCTTGTACTCGTTGATGGCATATATCAGGTTCTTCGTGGGCCCTGGCACCAGCTGAACCCAAGGCCGATGCTCGATCCACTGCTGCACTGAGGAAGTGCGAGTTTCGTGATTGCACCAGTCTGCAGTTTCCTCTGTGTAATGTCTTTCCAGATAATCGTCGCTGTTCACATGAATGAACACTCGCAGATCCTTGAACTCCTCCATGCAGATGGGGCTCCCTTTGCGAAACACGATGGGCTTGATCCAACTGTTCCAGTATCTCCGCATGAAGCTGATAGAGCGGGAAGAAGCTGGACTTCCACGTCACCAAGCAAGCGTGGTCGCCTGGCTGAAACCGTGCCTCCTGACGGCCCATGCTGTCCAACCATGACGACATAATTACTGTGGTAGCACAGTAATGTCTGTGGGAAGTGGGACTGACGCGCAGTAGCCTAGATGTGAAGCGAAAACATCTGCAGGGCAATAACATCAATCAACAACATGGCAACTTTCAAGGACAGTCGCAACTTTCAAGGTCCAACACGCAATGCTTGCTCTTTTGTTTCTTTGCCCATCACGCGATGCCATGGTCTGCTGCGCGCCCGCAGCAGACATTGCCACAAGGTCTAGTTTACATCATCAGCGGGAGGAGGTTTCACAAATTTGCGTTGCCTTCTCTCAGGACTTGGCATTGAAGCTATCGCATTCTTCCTCTCTGTGCTCTGAAGCCAGGCGTTCTCAAAGAAAGCTTTTCGGGTATTTTCATAATTTGTGGTTTTCTTTGACGCGCCCTTGGCTTTGGCCTTGCCTTTGGCTTTGGCCTTGGCTTTGACCTTGGCCTTGGCTTTGGGCTCTTTCTTGGCCTTGGCTTTGGCCTTGGCTTTGGCCTTGGCTTTGGCCTTGGCCTTGGCTTTGGCCTTGGCTTTGGCCTTCGCTACTGGACATGGAGGATCTTCTCCTGCGTCTTTGTCTTCTTCTTCTTCTGCTTCTTCTTCTTCATTCATATCTTCGTTCTCGTCCTCCGGCTCATCAGAATCATCCCAACCCCCCGCCTCGCCGAAGAGCTGCTCGATGGAAGGCTGAGCCTCCTCGTTGCCAGAGTCAGGCTCATCGCAATTGTCGTTCTTCCTCAGGCTCGGGAAAAAGTTGCCTTCTTCGATGCCGCCGCTCATGAATGGCAATGCTACTTACTGGCTTGAGGGGCTCATGGTTGGGCTCTCAAGAGCACAGGTCGTGGACTGCAAATGGTTCTCCGTGCACTGTCAGTTCAAAAGACAGGACACTCACAAGCGTGTTTATCCCATTTTCCTCCCAGCGCTCCGAACTGCAATCTGCCCTGGGTCTGTGATTGCGTCGCTGCCAACAGACATGTCCCGCTATCATCATTATTGTCATGCGCTGGCTAAACAAAAGAATGCACAAACTGT